ATATTATACCTTTATTATTAATAACTAAAATCAGAGACTAGTTATTTAAAGTAAAATAGTTTATAGCACTTAACCTTAAAGGAGCCTATAACCTTATTTATATTAAACTAAGAGATAAATAAAAGACAGTATTTAAAATATGCTATAGATTATTTAAATACTTAGTAATGCTATTTAAATTAACTAATATACTTATAATATTTTAGAAAATAATTAATTATATATTAAAGGAATTTATTAACTTATTTATTATTATTTACCTTAATAATATTCTTATTTTCTTAAAAACTCTTAAAGAATATAAAAAGTATATTACTTTTATATTAAAAACACTAGAAAAAGCAAACCTACTAGTAAAACTAGAGAAATATTAATTTTACTAATAGAAAGTTATATTTTTAAGATATATTATTATGCTTAAAAAAGTATATATAAACCTTAAAAAGCTTAAAGCTATTAGTAAATAGTAACTACTAAAGAATATAAAGAAAGTCTAAAGCTTTTTAAGACTTGCTAACTATTATAAATAATTTATTTAAAACTTTTTAAAGATTGCTATACTACTTATAAAACTTATAAAAAAAGAAAGGAAATTCTTATAAGCACTTAATATATAAGAAGTATTTAATATATTAAAAAAGGCTTTAACTAGTAACCTAGTATTAGTTATATTTAATCTTAAAAAGCTAATTATTATTAAGGTAAATATATTAAATTATGCTATAAAAGGAGTATTAAGCTAACTAAATAAAAATAAAAAACTATAACTAGTTGCTTATTTCTTAAAAAAGCTATATAGGCTAGAATTATAATATCCTATTTATAATAAGAAATTTAAGGCAATTTATATAGCACTTAATAAGAAATACTAAAGAAACTACTATTAAGGAAGTAAATTCCCTATAATAATCCTTATAGATTATAAGAATATTACTTACTTTACTATAATATAAAAACTCTTATAAAAATAAGTTAAATACTATAAATGCTTATTAGAGTTTAACTTAATTATTAAGTATTATAAGGGAATAGAAAATAGTAAAGCTAATACACTTAGTAAAAGACTAGACTATTTTTAAGAAATCTTAAATATATAAGCATAAGTACTATAGCATAATAAAAACAGAAACTTAATATTAAAAATACTAAACACTATATTTATAATTAAAAAAAATAATCTAATTATTAATAATATTAAAAAGCATATTAAGGACTAGACTAAAGAATAGTTTTTAAAAGGCACCTTTATAAAAAAGGGCTACTTAATAATAAATAGACTTATTTAAGTATTAGATAAACTATAAAAGAAAGTAGTTAAGATAATTTATATATATTTAATATATAAATATTAAGAAATAAGAAAAACTACTTAGTAAGTTTAGTAATATTATAAATTTAATAGTATTAAGAAAATAGTTTAAAAGGTTATTTTAAAATGCATTATATATAAATAAGTAAAAGCAGGATACTATCTTCTTTATAAAAAGTTATAACCCTTATAGGTTCTAATATAGCCCTAGGAATTAATCTTATTTAACTATATTATTAAGCTTTTACCTTTAAAAGAATTAATAATAGGAAAAACTTAAGATAGCATCTTTATAATAGTTAACTAACTAATAAAAATAAGCTACTTTATCCTAGCTAAAGAAAGCAGTATAGCTAAAGACTTAGTATATTAGTTTTAAAGATATATTTATACTAATTATAGACTATTAAATAAAATTATTTTAAATAAAGGATTAATATTTATTTTAAAATTTTAGTAATTACTTATAGCTAGACTTAGATTAAATTATAAAGTTAATACTACTTATTATCTATAAATAAATAAGCAGATAAAAAGGATTAACTAGATTATTAAGATATACTTATAATACTATATTAACTTTAAATAAAATAATTAAGTTAAACACTTACTAATAGTATAAATCTTATATAATAGTATACTAGTAGAATTAATAAAAAAATCACTATTTTATATAAACTATAGATTTAAACTAAAAGCATTTTAACCTTTAAGGTAAGGCAAAAATATAAAAAAAGTAATTATTATAATAGATTAATTAAAGGAACTGTATAATAAGATAAGAATATAACTTAAATTTATATAATAAAGAATAAGTAAGTATATAAATTAAAGAAGAATTAAAGGACTAATTCTTTAAGAGAGAGATATAGTTTACTTACTTTAGTATATATATAAAGAAAAGTAATTAAATATTAAAATAAATTAGCTAAGTAATAAGCTTAATTTTAAAAAACTTAAACTATATAAAGTTTTAAAATAAATTAAAGAAGTTAATTATAAACTTAACCTTTTAGTAAAAGAAGGATAATAAGAATAAAGTATATATAATATTTTCTATATATTATTACTTAAGAAAGCAGTAGTAAATAAGGAAATAAGTAAAATTATTTATAATAAAATTATAATTAAAGGTAAAGAACTTAAATATAAAGTTAAATAAATACTTTAAATAAAATTTAATAAAAAAACCTAATAGCTAAAATATCTTATAAAATAGAAAAATTATAATAAAGCTAATAACACTTAAAAGCCTATTAAGCATCTTAAACACTTAAAGGCCTTAGTTAATAATTTTTATTAATAGTTAAACTTATAAAGGTTAATAATAAGGGATTTAGCAGAAACTAGTCTTAATTAATAAGGTTAATAAAAAAAGCCAGGATATTAAAACTAGCTAGATTAAGCATTAATACTTCTGCCTAGTATATAGCCTCTACTACCTTATACTTTACCTTCTCTACCTGCTTTAACTCTTTTAAATTATTAATTCTATAAGTAATAGCCCTTTATATTTTTTTAGCCTATTCCTTCTTTTATATATAAAGATATTTAATATATACACCTGCTTTAAGCTATACTTTCTTAGCCTTTTCTAGCTTAAAGTTAAGATTAGCACTTTTATTAGCTATATAATAAAGTTAAGATGCTAATAGACTAAAAGCTTTATAGCTAGGCTGCTAAGAATAAATATAGCTTAAATAGTAAAGAGAATTAGTCTTTAATATAAAACACTAAAAACTATATTTCTTATAGTATTAGTAAGGTTTTATAATTAATAGTTTAAGCAAGATTAACTACTCTAAAGCTTACTGCTAAAGTACTTAAGAAAACTTAAAATATTTACACTTACTGCTAATTATTATAGTTAGTATAAAAAGAAAAGGATATATAGACAGGAAATACTTATAAAGAAGTAAGGGACTTATAAGGTTTTAATAAAATAAGCAAGGTCTTAAAAATAAGACTAACAGAAGGGGGATATTATATTATAACCTAACCTTATAGTTATAATAATAGGCCACCCTTAATAAATAGCACTAGATAAATATTAGGCTGTTTAACTAATTAAGAACTACTTAATAAACTTAACTGTTAAGTAGATTAAGGATAACTTAATAAACTTAAGGATTAAGTATATTAAGGATATTAAGATAACTAGCTATATAAGGATATATTTATATTACTTATTTAAATAGTTTAAATAGATAGTTATTATTATATAAGTAGTATAGTAATAATAATATAACTAGATTAAAACCTAGACATCTACTGCTTATATTCCTAGCTATATAATAAGTCACTGCTAATATATTTAACCTAACCTCTCTGCTAATATAAACCCTTAAACCTTAGGTTTATCCCTTAGGAAAGACTGTTCTTACTAATTATAAAGACACTGGTTTATTATATAATGACTGTATAGGTTATGCTATAAGCCTACACTTTAAATAGATATAATTCTAGCAGTTATAGTGTGAATAATGCAGGCATAGACTATTATAGTTTAAATAGGGTTATCTGTTCAAATAGGAATTCTTGTCCGTTTAATAGGAGGACTCTAAATAAAAACCCAGCAGAGGTTAGGCATTAAACAGAGGGATCCTTCCTAAAGAAGGAAAAAAGCAAAAAGAAAAAACATACAACAGCCGGTGTTCGCTGGTGGTCACCCACCCAACTACTAATCTGCCGGTTAGTGGCTTATCTATGGGGGAGCAGACGGGACCCCGAGTTTTCCACTACCTATGGTCGTATGTACTAGCAATCAGGCAAGGCAAGTACATATCTCAGACAGGAAGTAAACCTGGCACTTGTGGTTATCTTCTCGATGCACTGGACATCCAATCTATAGAGCTCGTTGTAGTAGGGGAGGCCTATAGAGTAAGTACCTTGAAAACTGATGCTTGCTTTATGTGGATGCCGATGTCGCTATACACGGCCATCTACATTGACGATCCCAAAGTGGCAGTGCAAACAGCGAAGAGTAGTTGATATCATCCATTAGGATCAATGAGACTCATCTTTCCACCGAGTATGCAAATGTATGCGGTACTTATGCTTGATAATGCGCCTTGACTAGTGCATCAGCCACTGTGACTGGACCTGGAAATGCAGTATCTAACTGAAGACATAGGTCAGAATAGCTGTCAACACACCAACCACGCCTATGACAGCACCAAACACTCCTAGCCCAGTATCCAAACTCTTCCACACAATGCCTGCCGCAGCTCCACAAACGACGGAAAAGACCAGGGCCAGCATGACAAACGCCGAGAGCATGAGCTTATCGAGCTCCAAGCGTATCAATAAAACATCTCGTGCACGGAGAGTGCCAGGCGCCTCGACTATAGCTGCGAAGCGTCGATACGAGGTAATGAAGTCGCACCCAGCTGGGAGCTCTTTGGCGTTGCGCAAGGCCCTCGTCAGAACGTGGCAGCGATAATCGGCCCCAATGTCAACGGTGCAGGGAAGATCTTGGGAGATGGCCTCAATTGGTACCTAGGAGCAAATCAGTCTCTGTCGGTCTCAACATGTGATCATAGCACGCAGATCAGTCAAAATGTCAGCATACTGGGCACATCTTTGCGTTATAAGCCACCGGCCTGATAAATGGAACGAGCTTCAATAACCTGTTCATCCACCAACCGCGAGAGGCCGAAAGAGAGTTGTTGAGTTTGTGTATGACATCAATCCCCTTGTCAGAGGATCGAAGTAGGATATGGTAGAGAAGGTAGTCACCGTGACTGAGCACGACAACACGAAAGTTGATCCACGTTGTCTCAAATTGAGACTCCAATTCAACATCCCATGATAGCGACATGATCGAGGCAGGGGACTTGACACCGGGCCTGACAAACTGGTGTTATGAAAAGATCGACAAAGAAAGTCAGAAGAGAAGGACAGCTTCAGTAGATGCGAATGCCGTCTGTTTAGGGGCTCCATGTTCTTTGCTAGAAGGTCAGCTTAAGTAGATGCGGATGCCGTCCGTTTAGGGGCTCCATGTTCTCTTAGGAATATGGCGAGCTCGGCGGTGAGCAGGCCTGCATTGATGTGTGCGATTCCTGACAGTCTCCAACAGCTCTGAGAACTTCGACGGGAGATGGGCAGACCCCTGTCAGCCCCGGACTTCGAAGGTGGGTAACCGCCCGCCCTCTCCCCATCAGACTTACAAGGTGACAGTGTCTCGGTACAGTTTTCCGACCGCGCCCCTGCCCATTCTGACATCGAGATGCGGGCCATAACCGGGTTTCGGATTTACTACAGCTTGAAAGGCTCCGTTGCCTATGAAGCAATACTGCTTATAGTACTTTTGTTTAGGTATGGTGGGATGACTGATATAGTAGCGACGTATAACAGTCTTATGAATATCATCTACAAGGGCATCTGCGTAAGTTTAACTCTTAACGTAGTGAAAGAAGAGATTGAAAGAGAGGAGCTGTTCTCACTGAGAATATATATTGAGCGACCTCACTCACAATTGTTCGTTTATTGGAGTACCGTCTTTTAACAACCCACGCTGAATAACGGCCACGAGCTTTCCTGCCGAGTATAGATGATGGTATAATTCGAGCGTGAGGCGAGATCATGAGTATCCGACGAGGTGATATTGGTCAGATGCCTGGTGGCGGAAAGCTCTACAAGTCGACAGGAGACGGAGATTCGACATACATGACCAAGACGGCATGGTTTCGGGTCATTATCTGATACGAAGCCCAACCTTGCCTTCAATAACGCCAAATAGAAGGGTGTTTGTAAGAAGGGCAAACAAGGAAAAACATACAACAGCCGGTGTTCGCCTGTCTGCTGGGATTGGCAGCTGATTTCTACATGTTACGGCTTCTACCAAAGCCACTTGATATTGAAAAGCAAGTGAAGTTCCTGCGCTTAGCCGCCAAACTTTCTTTAATACGGAAGACATCTACAAGCGAGTTCATAAAGCCCTAGATCTTCAATTATCGTCGTTTGCAGCTGATGATGGGGATGGCGCCTCTGAACGATTCATCCGCTCACTCATATCATCTCGACCATGCACCTCAGTTGTTGAGCCGCCGCCGTCGTTTCCAAAGTCTGAAGGCGGCGGTGCACCTGAGCGCTTCATCCGCTGATTCAAATCATCAACGCCCGGTGTGTTGCTGGTGTTGCTGTTCGAACTTGAGAATGGGGGTGAAGGCTCTGGCATCAGAGGCCGAAGCCTACGATCTGGGCCGTCTCCTGCATTTGAGCCAGGTAAAGACAAATAGTCGTCCGGCTGCTGCATGCTGGAGCTTTTTTCGCTGCCGTGGCGATCAGACTGGCAATCAGACGGACGAACAGAGTCCGGCTCTGCGATCTGCTCCCAAACAGCATCCGTCAAAACATCCTCGGCGCTGGGTCGATGGGAAGAATCCCATGACAACATGGTGCGTAGAAGAGTCGCCAAGCCATCAGGCATTCGAGTCTCCAAGTGTGAGAGGTGGTTCAACATAGCAGAGTAGTGTTCCTGGTCAGATAGCGGACCAGACCACATGCAACCCTCAAATGTAGCCAGAAAAGATAAAGCCAGACTGAAGATATCAATGGCATTGGTGTAGGTCTCCTGAGTGGCAACCTCAGGCGCCTGGTAGGCCAGAAGCCCAAGAGACTTCTCAGCACCCTGAGAGCCCACCTTGGCCATGCCAAAATCGCCAATGGCGGCGGTGGCAGGCTGCAGTGAGAAGACCAGCAAATTGCTAGGGTTGATATCTCTATGCATGATTCCCGCGGCATGAAGATTCTTGAGTCCCTCGAGAGCGTGACGAAAGAGTGCAAGCTTCACAGGTGGGCGGATCTCCTGCCACGGTGCGGTATCGAAGGTAAAGGGCGCGTAGGGCATGACCAGGTGCATATCCTCAAACTCGGCATGGGAACAAGGCAGCGGAAAGCCATGTCCGCATGACTTGGATAGCAAAGGTACAAGGCCACCGGATGCACGAGCGGCAATGATTGAAGCAATGCTGATCTCGTTGACCGCATCTTCGATATTGCCCCGCGAGCATTGCATGGTCTTACAAGCAATAGGATCCCCGGTCTTCCTGTCCACGCCGGCTCGAACGACACAAGTATCGCCCTTTGCAATGACATTGTGTAGGATAACATGCCTCAGTCGTATGTGATCATGCTGCGGTTGAGTTGCAAAGCAGTTAGGAACATCCCAATTGCCAAGCTGTCTCTGCATATACACTTTGCGGCTGGCTGAGTATGCACTTGTACTCTCGATGGCATATCGCAATGCATAGTGCAGGGAGCCAATGCGGAGTATGTTAGTAGACATATGAAGAACATGCTCCTCATTTTTTTCGCAATTCAACGTGGTTGCCTTGGTTGTCGGCGTTCAGATACCATAAGGAGTGGCTATCATTTGCATTGCGAATCATCAGAACCCCGGACTTGGGATGGATGAAGATGTCGAAAAGCCTCCGCCCTTTGAAGCAGCGCGATCTAGGAGAGCAGATTGGCACGTTGACATGTTGTGCGTGCTTGTCAGAATCCAGTTTTCCAACAGCCCATCCTGAGACACGGCCGTGCCTTTCTCTGCCTAATGTAAAGATGATTGTATGTTTCGACCTTGAGGCGGGATCGCTGGTGTCTGACGAGGGGAGGTTGGTCAAATGCCTAGTGGCGACGACTAGGTCCATTGGTGAACCGACGGCGTCTGAACGGTGTTTAGCCACAAGCGACGCCAAGTGGGTTTGGGCTGCTTTGGACTCTGGGGTCAAGGTTGCAAAGCTAAGAGACAGTTCTGCCGACGACAAGGCCATGATGACACCTGTGATGGTCGATTCAACGACCGTAAACAAAGGCGGTTACCAAGACGTTGATGCGGCTGTTGACCGCATTTGAAGGCGTGAATATCAGATCCCCTCATATACTGCCTGAATACCCTGCGTCACACGTGGTGGGAGTGCACGTGACGTAAGCGCATGTAATGGGCACCGCGCATGCCTCATTCAACTCACCCTCTGCAATGCGCTTATAATGAACATCGCAACGCGCAACATCAGCATCAACGGTCAACCAAATGGCCACAGTGACAGCAGAGGATATTCGAACGGTAGCAGAACGCGTCCGAGCGGCAGCGCAAGTCGTTGCGCCGTATGAGCGCAGGGAGCCATATGATTTCGAGGTCTTTGAGCCCCTCATGAAAATGCTCCCAGAAGAACGAGTTCCATACGATCCGCCTCCCCAGCGCTCAGATGAAACAGACAGGGAGTACCAACTGGTGTGGGCGAACCATTTCAACATGTGGCTTCTTCAAAAAATCGACGACTACTTCAAGGTCAAAGGGGGAAGACTACCATCTCCGAGCAGCGATATCGATGATGATGATGATGTCCGAGCCTCAGAAGTCTTATATAACCAAGAGAATTTTTTGGAGCGCATGAGAATAGTGGATTGGGAGTTCTTCAGAAAACCCGTCACATACGAGGATGAGCCTTTTGAGATTCCCCCCGAGTTTTGGGAGAGACAGCTTAGGGAGACCCGCGGCAAGGAGTTGCCGAATAAATCATCGGAAGATGTCGACGTTTCTCCAAGCGGAAACAGCGAGATGGCTCCATCATCCTCCAGAGGCCGTCCTCAAGGCCCTAGACGATATGCGAGCAATACCCGAAGAAGCACTGAAGATGGTGCAGGACCAGCAGCAGAGCAGCAAGGAATGGACGGTTCGATCTTACGTCCCTCGATTGAGCAATCTCTTGAGAGACCAGAAGGCGGAAGCAAGATGGAAGCATCAACACTTTATTCACTGCAGAACTCTGAATCGGCCCGAAAACGGAAGCGGAGAAGCCTGCCGGTTGAGGATAACGCCCTTGAAACATCATCTAAGAAACAGAGGACAGACAAGCACCCACAGCTATCGACATCATCAAATACAGCAGGTCACAAGAGAAAGCGAGACGGCAAAGAGCCTCCAGACGGACTATCATCCACCGGCGAACCAGGACAGCCTAGCGATAAAAAGAGGCGACTCGATGCACAATGGAAGACACAAGCATCGCAAAAAAGGAAGAGAGGTACCCAAGAAAATGACAAAGAATTTCAGGGTTCCCAGCTTGGAGATGGAGTGCCAGGATCGAAGCGGAGGAAAGTAGGCGCGGTAGAGGCCACCGAAGCTGAGCAGAGTGCTCAATGTGCTTCCACTGCCGCCGGCTCCAGGCGCATCCTGTCCACAGCGCCACCTCTCCGTATCACGCGGGCAAGACGGCAGCAGCTCTCGGGCGAGGACGCACAGCTGCTCCAACTCGACCAGCGCGGCAAGCCAGATGTGCAGGAGCCAAAGCTCGCAGCGCAAGAATCTGCTCGAGAACAGCCTTCCACAAGCCGGAACGACCGCCGGCCGAAGAAACCGACCGGCAATGATGTCAAGAACTCTCGCAAAACAAAAACCACCAATACCGTCAAGAGCGGTGTGAGGGCCTCTACGATGACCTCTACGAAAGATAACGCCATCACGAAGAACACTACGAAGACCATCACCAAAACAAGATCGCGCAGCGCTTCTGGCAAAAACAGAGGCAGAGGCCGGCTATCTTCTACATAGTCATGGAGTCGCTTGGATGTCAACGGCCCACTCTGCAACCTCTGTATCCTATTCCGCTTAGCCCTCTGCAGGGTAGGCAAGCAAGGCAAGTGTATGAAGTTCGTGTACTGGTTATCCTGACAGGGTCGGGTGCAGCCAGCGACGGACTTTGATACAAGATCCGGGGCCTCGCCTCCAAGGTATCGACATGGTGGACGATGCTGCGTATGCTGGTTATCCTGGCAGGGCCGGGTGCAGCCAGTAACGCCTCTTAGCCTCGTCGCCATGAGCGTTTCCGCAAATACCGGGCGAGGCAACCCCCCAAGCGCAGCGGACCAAGTTGCGTATGCTGGTTATCCTGACAGGGTCGGGTGCAGCCAGTAACGTTTCCTTAACTTGGTCGCTGCGGGCAAAGCCGTGTGTCTGTTATCCTGACAGGTGTCGGGCACACCCAGCGACGGACGTGGCGTGGATCTCCAAAGTTGCTCCTATCTCGCGCGAGGTAGAGCGCCCATCACGGATTGCGCGCGCTGGTCATTCTGATAGGGTCGGATGTGGCCAGTCACCAGCCGTTTCTCAACTTGTTGCGCTTAGAGTGGTTCAATCTGTTGCAGGGCGGCGCGTTGGCGTCCAAGCCTGACGCTCCTAATTATCTCATTCATGCTTAGGCTATCTCATGGGCCGGTTCCTCGAGGCTTCCACCCAGTTCGAGCTGAGGTAACTGGGTGTCATCCATCCTTGTCATGAGCCAAAAGCTTACGTGTAGGTAGTATCTGATATCCTGATACCGTCTGTGGGAGCCCACAACAGGATACGTGATACATCTCGGCCGGACCGCGGATCGATAAATTCTGATCCCGATTCACGATGTTGGCATCCTGAAGAGAACAAGCACAGACAGGCGGAAGGAGAGGAGTCTACTGAAGCTCAAGAGGCCCACAGTTGCCTATGAAATAACACCATCGCTGGTACTATTGTCTGAATACGGTAGAATGACTGACATAGAAGCGAGAGTTGACTCTTGGAGAAACCTGTCCACAAGGGCATCTTGGAGGCTTTTCTCAAGATTAACAACTGGGCTATCTGGAATCTTCTGTGTCGAGCCATGGCTCCATCCGGCGGAGGTACTAGCCTCCCAGTACAGCTTGATCATGATGGTAGCTTTCAAGCCTGACGTTCTTCCGACTCACTGCTGCAGCTCGACACAGCGTGAGCGCTAGAGTAACCCAGTGACTCGAGGTCGTCAACGGTGCTGGTACTGTTGTCATCCAACTCTTCATTCAGTGCGTGCGAAAAGAAGCTTGCCCCTTCCATCTCCGCCGCGAGCCCGTTGATCTGAGCCTGGCGTTCCTCTGGAGCCTTTACTTCGAGAACCGACTGGAAGGTGCAATGGTTTCCAACTCGACGAGAGCCGCAGTGTCGGCACGGCCAATACCGGCTGCACTATGGAGAATGTCAGTAAATGTAATGTGATAGCACGGCGGACGGAGACATGTCTGAGTTTGACTCTATAAGCTGGAGATATGTTCAGGTATGCTTAATTCAATGCTGAGAGAGGAACAAGTCCAGTCTCTGCACCTAAAGAAAGCGCGAATCCAAGAGGAGACCGCAAAGATGTGCAGGTAACAATCCACAGCACCACACTTGTGATCAATGACTGTGCTGGAAGCAGGTCATGAGACCCAAGCGCGTACCACAAAAGGGTCAAAGAAGCTATTGAATCGAACCATGACATACCTTTTGCTTCCGGCGTTTACACTCAGTGCAAGCTGACAGCACATAAGTTGCCACTTCCCCCGTTTGCGTCAGCGGGGTCCCCTGCGCATGAGCACCCGTATGTATATGCGTATGCGTATGCGTATGCGCCGACGCCTTGTCCGCCGTCATGGTGCTATAGAGATCTTCGGGAGAGATGAGAGAAGGAAGAGAAAGTTGGGTCGAGCGGGAATCGCGGGGTCTGCCGCTGTCGACACGACGGCAAGACGGCGAGGCGGAAGGGCGGAGACCAACGGACAACTAACGGCGCTTCAGCCAACCGATCGGTGGAGCTGAATCGTGTCAGCGGCGAAGGCTAGAGCTGAAGCCTCTAGTTGGGGGCCGTGGTAGTGGAGAATCGAAGCCTCTGCTGTTAGAAGGCTGCAAAGGAGAGAAGAGCAAAGGCAAATAGACGAAAGACGCTCGAGAAGACCCAAGCCAATACGGCCGATAGAAATGAACCGAACGCTATCCCTGAGATGAGAGGTGCTGTTGGATCAGTTGAGGCGGGGAGCCTCTTCGCTATAAATATCGAGAGAATCCAGCCCGGGCTCAAGCCTCCGACGTGGACGACTGGCTACTACAGTTGACAGGATGTTAGTACCTGTACTCCGTAAAGGTGTGCCGGTACGTTCGTGGGTACTTGCCTGCTGAGAAAAGTGGCCGAAGTGAAAGAGCAAAAGGGGGAGAAACATTGAGGAAGCCAGATCATCTAGTCATAAGCTTGACCGGGTTCCCGTTTCCTCCCCCCTGCATCAAGCCATGTCTCGGCGCTCTTCAGCCCTCTGCCTGCTCTTGGAGTCTTCCGACAAGCCAAGCACTTGATGCTCCGGCTAAGCTGCCTTCATTATGGGCGCAGCTTTGTGTGCTTGACGCTGTACACACCTATTCGTCTCTGGCCCCATCGAAGAATCCCTGTCGTTGGACTGTATCTCCCCCTTTCTTTTGGCGCATCACTGGCTTGACTGGCTTGTCACTGGAGGCAGCCGATCTGCGAGACCGTTGGAGCTAGTACGCCAATCGCCGGCTCAAAACGTAGCGACGGCCGGCGGTTCAGCTCCGGTCCATGTCTGCAGCATCGACAAGGGGGGCTGGCCGTCGCTCTCCTTGCTTGGAGTTCCCGCTTGTTGTGCTGGTCTCTGTCTCTTGCGTGTGCGAATCCAAGAATCCGGTTCGTGCGACAAGGATCAATGATGCCTGAGGCCTCGGGACGTGCCTATATTTGTCCGAGTACGGGCACGCTCATGTCAGCTGCTAATACACATGTATCCCAAGCCAGTCCTATTGCGTCTCAGTTAAGAGCTCTGTACATTAAGTCTCCGTCTCCCTTCAGCAGATATGACAATAGACGGGGCCCGACGGCCGACGTCTGCTTCAAACTAGAAATAAGTAATACCTCCATAGGCACCTAAGGTTTAGCAGCATCCAAGCTGTCTTCAAGCTGTCGGCTTGGAGGATAAAGGACGGGCCATGAGACAAGGTCTCGGTGATCCCGCCAGTTGTCACCCAAGGTATGCCGTCAACGTGCTTCAGCACCTGCATGGTTGTGGCAGACAGCAAATGTAGTACGACGTAATACTCTGCACAGAGCAGGAGAAGCATCCAGAATATCAGCCGCTTGTCGATGTCTGCTGCTCTCACGTCGGGCATGGATCGATCGAACCTGAACGGGCACGGGCTTCAATCCATCAAGCTACAGCGCGGGCCCGGCCGCCTATCCCACTGTAGCCCCGCCAGCGCGGAGGCCCTCCGGCGGCCACTAGATCGGTAGCCCCCTGTAAGTCTCCTCTTGCCCCCTGTATATCCCCCTTGCATCGCACCTGCGGCCCGAGGTCAATGGCCCTCAACCAACGTCATCTCACCAACAAAGATCCGCCTCAATTTTTGCCCTCCTTCATCTCGTCTGCCCTCGTCTTTGCGTTGTTCTAGGCAGTTTGGCTTACTTCATACTGCCACAGCTGCCATCCAGCCATCTTCAGCCAATGCGGCCGCCGTCGGGACAAAGCACGAAGTGGCCGACAACTACGGAACGCTTGTACATCCGGCCACCTCTTGTCTGCATCCTTATGCCCTGCCGTGGCCGGTGTCTTTCTGCCATTATCGAGCGGACGGAGGGCGCCGTGTTGGTCCCGCAGTAGCTCAATCTTGTCTCGTCTCGGTGCTTGACAATGCCGGGCCTCACCTGGCATGCTACGAAGATCTCGATCCTCCGCCTGGATCTGGTCCAGGGGCGATCAAGCTGGAACATCCTCATCGTTCCTACTTGTCTTCAGTTTCAGGTTGTCAAGGAGCAAACCTCCGAAGCTTGCGACATGTCTCTGCCAAATACTACGATGAAGCGGAACAGCATCAGACGAACATTGGGGGCTGTATCTCAAAGCCGGTCGTCTGTTTGCCAAATGGCTTGACAGGCGCAAAACTGTGCCCAGCTGCCCTGATGACCTGGTCTTGATAGGTTGTCTCAGCTTCTAATCAACCTCGTCTCGTGTTACGTCGTCTACAAAGTACCGCGGCAGTACAGGGGAACCGGACTGACAGCGGGTGCAGACATCTGCTGTGCCCCAACAGCAGAGAGCAGCCCTTGCAGTTGGCCGCAGCGTCCAGCGGTCTTTGTTTCGCTGTTTGATTTTAAATCGAGATTGCCTTCGATGGATCGGCAAATTGGACTGTTCCTTGGTCTCAAATTTCGATGAAAGTTGGGCGTTCCCGTCATCGCTGCTTGGCGCAAGGGATATCCTAGCCGTCAACCAGGTAATTGGATTGCTATGAAGCGCTTCGCACTGGTACTACCATGACCAGTACACATCGGGGTTATCCTCTTGGAGCACTCTCGATTGGCCTCCCTGACGAGATTGGGAAAACAAAAACGTGCGTTTGCCCTGAGAACTCAACTTTCGCAACGAAGTGGCCACCGAGGAAATAGGACGCCATTCCCTTCAGATTTTATGGGCAACCATGGCCACACACTCGCACACGATGAATGGAGCCATATTTACGAAGCTCAAGTTATGAAAGTTCTGTCGCTTCGAATTTGTGGCTCAAGCCACCATGGGTCATCTAATTAAACACTCCCTATTCCGCGACATCATCTCTAAGCAGGAGTATGCTCCCTCGGACAAAAGCATCGTATCCTGACGTACGAAGCACTCGCATTTAGGGCGACCTCCAAGATGTTAGGCATTTATGGGCCAGCTTTGATAGCCCAGGTCTTGTCCTTCCACTTCCTGCTCCTGGCATCCGCGGTCTTACTTCTTATCTGAATACTTTCCTCAGTCACCGCCGAAGTTGCGGCCGAGGTCTCTGCGTACTCTCCACACGCGTGATCCGACTGGCCGCTTCTGACTTCCGCGTAGCACTTCGACCCAAGGGAGGGCCGTGGAGGAGCCAGCACTTGGGTCCAGGGGAGCCTCGCTTTCCACTGCCGCTTCTTCTTCGTTACTGGCAACTACGACTTCGTCTTCGTCGTCGTCTTCTTCCTCTTCATTGGGGTCGACGCCTGCCATCTCAAATGCCTTGTCCGCGCCAACACCCACCTGCTGGGAGCGCTGGTATAGATCTTCGGTATAAGCCCAGGTCGGCGCGTCGAATCTTCCGTGAACGAGCACGATTTGTCGGCCCTCAGAACGTATCTGCTCTATTGTTTGTAGAGAGATAGGCGTGAGAATTTGCAGCGTTTTGGTGACGGTGTCGATGCCTCGGATGAGCACGAGGCCGATTGTGCGAGAGAAGCAGGGGTCGAGGGCAATGTCGTTGGGGTTGGGGATATAGGGCAGTCCCTCCGACGTCCTTGAAACCATCCCTTCTATCGTGGTGAACTCGTCTTCAGCGGACGTTGCCGCATCGCTGGCAAGCTTGCGAAATGCTTTGGGATTCTCGACATCAACCGCAGCGAGAATCATGCCATTGATCGCCTGTGAGAGTAGTTCCGGTGGAATTTGGTAGTCGTATGGCAAAATGCCGAGAATGCCTCGACCAGAGCCAGAATACCGTACCTGCAATGGAGGGATCGATGACAGCGGTGAAGAGTTCCAGCTTGATCTCAGTCCTCCGCTCGTCTTGCCCTGGTCCTGCAGGTGGAAATATGACATGGCTTGCATGGCCCTCAAGTGCGCAGCAGTACGAGAGGCGAACTCCGACGGCTGCGAGGGAAGCGTAGTGAAGCTCTTCTTCGTCGCACCGCGCAAGACTTCTACTACGTCTGCGGGACCGTCTTCAGACATGTAGATTACTTCCGGAGGGTTGACCCGAGAGATGATCTCAACCAGCAGGTCTTGTCCGGTGCCCAGGATCCAGCCAGGGGTATTGATGAGGAGATGGCAATTGCGCAACACTCTTCGATAGTAGTCCAGAAGGTCCAGCACGCATTCCAAGTAAAGCTCTGGGGCTGCAGCCGGTGTCATGGACGCCAAAGCATGACATCTGATGACTTTGTAAGCATCGTCGTCGAGGTTGGGATGAGTGAAAGCAGCGCTCAGGTTGGGCCGAGTGACGTGAACGAGGGACAGCGTCCCACAAGGCGCATACTCTGGCTGTCCGGGATCCAGATCGAGAACGGCCACGCCGTGGGTGCCCGTTCGTGTCGTCGACGCTGCTTCTGTCGTCAAGAGGCGGTTTGCCAACATCTTGGAGAAGGTAGATTTCCCGGCAGACTTGGGGCCGCACACAAGGGTCGTCAAGGGGCCATTCTTGGCTCCTGACACGAGGTCGGCCAATTTCTTATTCCACGCGGGAGGAGATGAGAGCTCTTGTATGACACACTTCTTGGGGGCGTCATCAGAGCTGCATACCTGGGAAACGGTCAGCCGTGACAGTTACACCAAGAGGGCCTAATTGATGAACACACAATCTGGAACGTTCGGCCCTTTCCTAGGGTCGGTTCTGTAGAGTCATCTTTAGACTCGCCCCATATACCTCTGAAAAGAGGCGATAGACGGCTTAATCGCCGCAGACCGTCCGCATTCGGATCACTGTGAAGCTCCAGGGTGACTTTTTCTGAGGTTCTGATGACGGGAATTGCGTGACAGTGAGGGGCATGAACCCAGTGTATCGTATCCGATGGCCTCAGAGAGGCTCCATAGACCGTCGCTTCTCCAGCTGAGACTTTGATTCCAAAGCTTCCAATGACAATGAATCGCTAGTGACTTTACATTAGTCCTTCCATGCGCAGAATCCGTTATCTTTGGGTGTAATACCTCGCTGTCTCTGAGCTTCAATGTGACGGTCCCCTTCGTTGTAGTACGGCAGTTGTTTTTATTGGGCACGAAAGATGAGTACATTACTCGAGAAGATGAAGAAGTGGCATCTTGAGTAAAAGCATCGCTGTTGATATCGAGACAGTTGTGTAAGTTCATGACTGACCACTCATACTTGAGGCAAGGCTGGCGTACCTCATCTTGCCGCCTTGTGAGGTCGGCGCTCTCGTTTCACCACGACCAAGAGGCCCTCTTGATCCATTCTTCTTGGGTGACTTTGGAGGCTCATTCGGACGCTTCAAGGTCTGTAGTATATTGAAGGAGTTTGTTCTTGCTGACGATGACTCTTCAGGCTCGGGAGATGAGCTGGGCTCCTTGACGGGGGTATTGGCACCGAGACGGCGGCGAGCTGCAAGAGCACTGATTGCGCTCACTGCTGCTACGAATAGGATCGAGTGCATTAGTTTACCTTGTGATAGTCCAAGAAGATTCAATGAGGAACTGGGTTGGTCGGCTTACAAGCAGGAGCAGCTGGGGGGTCGAGTTTACGACGTTTGTTGGAGGACATGTCTAGGCAATCTGGGGAAGGAAAGGACGCCGCAAGGGACTGTCAAGGAGCGAGGTGCAGTGTTTATGTGAGAAGATGCTCAAGAATTAATGTGATGCATTTCATGAACAATAAAAGATCAAAGCCTCAGAGTGACGAGTATGAAGAAAGCATCAGATTATGGAGAGACATCGCACAACATGAAGCCATCAAGGGTCAATTGATGTGACAGCCCATTTGGCGCTTCTGAAAAAGCGTTATCGATACCAATCGATAAGCCGCGGTGCCCCCAAACACGTCCCACCAAAGCGCGCTTTTCCCATTACGGGCGCGTCTTGGTGGGGCATCAGCAGCAGCATCTCAAAATTTCCAAAAACTCCATCCAGAAAAAAGTTCAGAGGAGCATCATCACCAACCCTCCCCAACTTTCCCGCCTCGATCCAACCCCCCAACCCCGGCGCATTGCACCTCGCCACCCCTCCACAATGGCGCCCAAAGAGCCTTACAAGGTGCACTCGCTCAACAAGCACGTCGAAGACACCAAGAAGGGCCTCAGCGGCGCTGCCCAGTACAACCGCCGGCCCATCGCCAAGGCGGCTGCAGCGGCCGTGAAGAACGAGCCCGGCGCCCTCGATGCCGCCGTCTTCGGAAACAACAACGACAGCGACGAGTCCAGCGACAGCAGCGAGAGCGACAGTGACAGCGATGGCGACACTGGCGCTGACCTTCTGAAGAAGCTCGGTGCCAATGGCGCAACCCCTAAGACCGGCCCCAAGCAGCGCGGCAAGGTCGACGAGATCGCCGACAGCGACATTGAGCGCACCGCTTCTGCCAAGCGTGCTGCTGCCGCTAAGCAAGGACAGCTCGCGAAGAAGGAGTCGTCCACTTCTGAAACCTCGAGCGATTCGTCCAGCGAGTCCGAGTCGGAACAAAGTGAACCCAAGGCGAAGAAGGCAAAGGGAACTGTCGCAACTCCTCAGGCTGCTGCTGCCGAGGAATCGTCCAGCAGTAGCTCCGAGGACGAAAGCGAGGAAGAGTCCGACGACGAAGAAGCAGAACCCGAAGCAGAACCCAAACCCGCTGCAAAGCAGTCGGCCACAGCTGCCACACCCGCCGCTACAAATGGCACTGCCAAGGCAGCTGCCGCAACTGCCGATTCCAGCAGCTCTAGCGAGGAGTCCAGCGAGGACGAGGCTGAACCTGCAAAGCCTCAGCCTACCAAGGCTCAGTCCACTAAAGCCCAGTCTACCAAGGCCCAATCCACCAAGGCTCAAGCTACCAAAGCTCAGACTGCTAAGGCAACACCCGCCAAGGCTCAGCCGGCAAAAGAGGCCGCTGAAGAGTCATCGTCCGACTCGGAAGATAGCGCCGCCCAAGTCGACGAATCGATGGGCCTCTCAGACCGCGAGACGGAGACGCAACTCGCAACCCCGAACTTCATTGCCCCCGACTTTGTGCTTCGCAAGGGTGATGATGGAGCGAACGGCCAGGACGTAGCCCGCATCTGCAACGAGGCAAACCTGCAGGGCAAGCAATTCTGGTACTTCACGGTGCCTTCCAACGTCCCCGTCTCTGTTATCGAGAACATTGAGATCCCCATGGACCGTTCACAGCTCGGCAATCGCGTCTTTTCACATGACGGCCAAGACTATGGCGTCTCCTTTGACACCATTTCGACCAAGAGCTCGATTCAGATCCTGATTCCTTCCAGCAGCGACTCCAATTACCAGCCTGGTTAGTTGTCTCCCTGAGGTATTCGCAATGTATGAACCTGAGACTGACTAATCCCCCTTTAGCACGCCAGCAAGTTGCTCAGACGATGCACATCAAGAGGATTGCCAACCTCGGAGGTGCGGCCGCTACTACTGTCGGTCCCGCGCCTCGTCGTGCCGCTCGACCGCAGCCAAAGGGCCTCAAGGCCAGATATCAGCCATTCGGCGTCAACACTCCGATGGGCAACATTGGAGCAGACGCGTCTGGCGACGAAGATGTTGAGATGGAAGAAGCGCCCGCAGCAGTAGCCACCCCCAAGCCTGCCAAGAAGGACAAGAAGAGCAAGAAGGATGATGCCAAACCGTCTGAAAGCAAAGACAAGAAGAAGGATGCTGATGTCGCTGCCACACCCAAGGCTGCGGATGTGAAAACTCCCAAGACTGATCGCAAGGGCAAGAGAAAGCACACCACTTCCGAAGACGATGCTTTGGCAGCAGAGGCGCAACTCAAGGAAGACATTTCTTCTTCGGCAAAGGGCAAGAGCAAGAAGCAGAAGACGGCCAGGGCTAGCAGTCCTGAACTTGGAGCAGAGCTTCCCCCCCTGCCCAAGAAACAGACTCCCATCGCACCACCGACTATCCCGTCGTCATCAGCCTATTCCTTCTCCAACATCCCGTCGTCGGCTACGGCTGTTGCTACCCCTTCCAAGGCTCCGGCCGCCACTCCTAGCACCGTGAAGAAGTCTGCTAAGAAGACGAAGCCTGAGACTCCGGTGCCCGCACCTCGACAGACTGCGGTCCCGTTGCCCAGCATTCCACTGAGTGCCCGGCCAAAGGAATCGCCTGTCCCTCTCCCTCCTGTTGCCGCTTTGGCCGCTACCCCTGTGCAGTCGAAGAGCAAGAAGATCAAGGCGAGCAAAGACGAGGTCAATGCCACTAGCTCCTCGCAGCAGAGTCCTCCGCCGAGTGCTCAGGGAGGAGATAAGAAGAAGGCTGCCGTCAAAGTCAAGGGATCAGGATAGGGCGCCAGGTCTCCTTACAAATGGCTTTCTTGAAGCGCTGCTGGGCGTGAGCCGCATCTATGACGATGCATGGCTTCGGCATCTCCCCTGCTGGTGATACCCAGTCCTGAATTGGGAGTCTTGACACCTCGCAAGAGCCGAAAAGCCCATGGCTCTTATTCACTACCCTCCATTCGATGTTTATTACCCTCAGCTGTTCGTCTGAACGGATCTTTTCTTGCAACTAGGAGACATTGGCGTTTAGGGAAGAAGCAATTTTTTCATGTCTGCACAAAAGTAGCCCAGGAGAGGCGGGGTTACACTTTCATCTTGAGGATCGATCGAAGGGAAGAAAAGGGGTTTGGTTTTACGGAAGAAGGAAGAAACGATTTGCTGATACGTGGCGGGCAATTGTTTGTAATATTCATGTACATCTCACTCAGATTTCGCGGGCATGTTGCCTGACGCGGCGGGCTCTTTACAGGAAACGGTCTTACAACGACATGCGTAGCAAGGGTTTCGTCCCACGTACGTACTTTACCTGAGAGCCAATACATTGCAATTGAGACATTCAACTGGTATATCGCACTGCTGCTGGTATAGTGTATCGACAAGTAATCAGGCGTCTCCTTCACACATAACGAGATCGATATCAATAACATGAAGATACGGCCTTGTTGTCATACTTTGGTCATTTGCGAGGTTAAAGTACAGCACTTCAATCACGGTCTGTTTGGCGCATGTAGAACCCACGATGTCTCGTACTATGTAGGACCGTTCTCATTAAACAGCCCTCGATGCTCAAGCCCCCAGCCCAACCAGCAACTCCAGCCCCCCCTGCCGCCTCTCTCCGTGTCTCTCTCTTCTCTCCCGGCCTGGAAATTGTGATTTGGCGGCGGCAAAGATTGGGCTGAATCGGACATGCTCGATTCGCGGGAGTGGATAATATCCACAGAACCATGCAGTTGGGACACGTAGCTGGGAGAGAGATCGGTGCAAACCATCGGTGAGAAAAGAAGCGAGCGAGAAGCGTGGTAAGGTCATGGATAATAAGCGGTGATGAGTACATGTACGTGCATCTGCGTTGGCAAAGATTGAAATGTCTAGGCTTTGTTCTATACGAAGCGGCTGACGAGGGCATTTTGCCTTGTAAGGGTAAACGGATATGTAGTACTAGTAGTACGTTGTATCCATGCAAAATGAGGCTGTCGTACAAGGGAACATGGAAGGGAGAGCGGCAAACAGGGGCTTCGGGCGGCGGCATGGGGGGGGAGGGGAGGGGAGGAGGTAAGGCCCCGAAATGCAATGCAGAGGAAAGGAAGAAGATCTGACTGCGTTGACGGGTACCTGCCTACGAGTTCTGCATATTTGTACCATGCAACAAGATACTACAGCGACTTTTGTTATGAGGTACGTAGAAAGAAGGTTTGATTGTGATACCGTTCGTTGTGCGGCTTGTAGGTAGGCGCAGATGAGATCCTTTTGGCCGCTGGCTGAGCCAAGGCGCGGCGTTTCGCTGGGCTGATTTCTCTTGCTTCGTACGTTACGCGTAACCGGCTGGGGCTTATACGACCCTTTTCTATACAACTACATTATAGAATCTAAGAGCTTGGTAGGAGATTTTGGGGGTGAAAAAAGAAATTAATTAAACAAAGGGCATTGAGCATGTAAAGGTGCTGTCAGAGTTTGCATAGGCATTGTCTTATAGTAGTGAGACAAGCAGCAGCTTTATATTGAGATGAACTGGTTTAATTTCCAGCTTGGCTACTTGCTTTGTCCAATGGGAGATGTATCGCAACTTTGTTGAGCTTTTACTACAGTAACTTTTCTTCCCGCGTCCCGTCTTCCCACGTTTTCTGGTTTCTGCCCCTTGCTGTGGCGACACGGCAAATTGATTAATACGGCGCATGATATGAAGTACAAGTACTACTGCTTCTTGCCTTGTCACTCTAATGAGAGGACATGATATGGAATACCTACCTGAGTAGCCTCTTGAAGATGAGAGGTAGTTGCTTGATTTGAGGAAGCCTGGCTGGTGCTCAATGGCTTACACGCTCGCTTACACGCTCGCTGTCGCTATTGGGATTGCCGAACTGACCCGAAAGCTCAAGGAGTACGGAATAAACCTTCATACACGCGTACGGAGTACGGAATAGGGATTCGAATCTGAGGATATCAAACGGGGCGAGAAAACACCAGTCCCCAGTTCCGGGAGAAAAGCTGACTCGGGAAAGGGAACGAAGTGTTCGTATCGGTAGCATTAGTACTTGTACCGTCGCCGACACTGAAGCGCTGGGTGCTGCCAGGATAGGGGACCTTTTTCCTGACTTTTGGCGTTCGAAGGCAGGGGATCCTGTCGCTTTTGCCGCGGCGATGGATCCGATCGGCCGCGTGTCTCTCTGATGGGATTTTGATGCCCTTGCCAAGATATTAAGGAAAGCCAAAGTGTTACACGCGGTCAGCGGGAAAAGAGGGAGAGATTGGCGTGTCTGATGCATTACATGGTAGTATTGCCAGGGACACGGTATCACACTGTTGATGAAGGATTCATATCAGTGTACGAGTACTCGTAAACGAAAATTGAAGGCATCGTGGCCATTTTGTGTCCATGGACCCCGCCCCCCGTGTTAGTTGTTCGAATGATGTTCACCGATGGGATCTCGTAGCCTATCGGAGCAAGCGGACCTTGTCCGTTGAGCTTTTTGGCGAGTGGTCTGATCCATTCATGCAGGCAAGAAATGGGGATGGGATGCCAGGTTGAGTTTGGGGGGCAAGAAAGCCATCAGGTTGAGAAGCCATTGACCGCGCGAAAAGACCTCACACAAGAGATAACAGCTGGAATTACCATTTGAAGCCGAGGTGCTGATGTCCAACGATAAAGCTTGACTGAATGTGTCATCAAGCAGCAGTGCGCATTTCGGGAGGCTGGAGCTGGAGTTGGCCGGGCAGATGGCCAAGCAGAAACGAGGCGCGGATCCTCGTACCCTGTGGGCGCTGATTGGTTAGGCGCAACCAGAGGCCCGATCCTGGTGAGATGAGCTGACGTGATCTGGATAGGAGAGGATAGCCGCCGCTGGTCTTGAATGTTAAAGAGGGTAACTTGAGCTTGTTGCCTCCAGGCACTCCACGCCCCTGCGTGTAAGCAGTTGTAATAACGAAGCTTTCAAAAGAGACAATGAGAATGACTACTGTTTCTCCGCGTCTGCAGATGGAGGGACGCAGATGGTGCAGAATTGGTAAACTCACATGTCAGTGCACGGGCTCTTGCCACCTAATCTCAAAGCACAAAATGGCACCGTCATCAATTTCAGATTAAAGCAGGCACAGGATCAAAGAGGTACAGCGAGACAGACACGAAGTACCCTTGGCCGATGTAGGTACCGGTACATGATCTTTGGGGGACTTTCTTAGTAGTGTGGCGCTAATGAAGGAGAGAGTAAAAAAAAAAAAAAAAAAAAAAAAAAAAAAAAAAAAAAGAAAAAATTGATCAAGAACACAGCGAGGAAGAAAAAGCGCAAAAAAAAATCGGCCGCTTGAGCTAAAAACAACGCCAAAGAAGGGTAGAACCGAATGAGAATAGGAAGAGAACGAGGCAGGGAAACTGCTGGCTGGAATTCGAATTCGTCCGCATTAGTGCTCGGTACTGCTCAATGTCGTCATCCTGCCTCCTCGCTCTCTCTTACATGGGGGACAGGCCCAAGTAAAGCCTGCATCGCAAGTGAGGCCGCACAGAGCACAAGGGCAACTTAAACGAACTTCTCACCATCGCTCTTTGGGGCTGGCATACATCAGCCTAGCCGGGGTAATGAAGTGTGGGTGGTGATGTTGGGTTGGGCAACCGTTGCGAGCTGCACGATGTCCGAGATTCCCGCGCGCAAACAGGGCAGGGGGGTCACGAGAGAGAGGGAAAAAGAGAGATGCTGATAATCTCCATGGACATGTGGTTTCGGCCGATCGACCAACCTGGAGCTTTGCATGGCTTTTGCTTGACTCGAGCTTCCCATTCTTTCCGCCGATAGCTTTAGCGAGTCAAGCGGACTGATACACGTATTGCTATCTCTTGCATCGTATCAGGCAAGGTAGGTGGTAGTCGCGGAGCATCGACCACGCGACCATGCTTCTGGTTGCAGTCGTTCTCTCGTGTGGAGGGGTTGTCGATATGGCATCTCGAAGAGGGATGCCATGTAGGATGACAGATACCGAGTAGTACGACTCTTTTGCCATGAGTTCTATATGAGCACATCATGGGGGCAGAATATTACACTCGGCTGCCTTTAACCCGGTTGTACTATAGTATGTAGTATCCAGATGGAATTGAGGGCGAGATGAGATGACAGCCGAGACGGCCCAGTTGCAGCTAAGCTCTGGAGGCCACTACCTGATCTCAAAGGCATCTTCAATGTGCCAGTAAACACACCGACGATGAATGTCGGCCGACGCCGGTCGCTTGAGAGGGGTCGATGAGAATGGAATCAGAAGACTTTACGCGCGCGCGGCTATGGCAGTGCTCTCTCAACCTGTCTCTGTGTGCAGCGTGTCGTTGGTAGAGGTACTCTGTAGTTTTACGATTGGTCCATGAAAAGAGGTCATGGTGCCGTTTCAAACGGCCTTGGTCCCAGCCTCCAATTGATCTTCAAGCGCCTGGAGCTGAGAAAACAGAAAGCCATGCGAACTGACATGCAGGGATGCTGGAGCCAGTTTCGGGGTTGAGGCCACCGATCCTTATTTCGCAGGCTCGGTACGAAGTGCAAGTACAAGTACTTGTACAAGAGCATGAACAGCAATAATAAGCGCCTCAAGTTGGTGATGGCCTCTTCATCACCCTCGAAAGATGAGCTGATACTGCTCGCATCACCTCGACTGAATTACTCGTACGTTGCACTAGCTCGTCAGCGGACACGGAGCGCCTTTGAGGGCGAACTCGGCTGCTGCTCACCGCACGGACAAAACGGACGAGTGAACTCATGAGAGAAAGGGCAAAGAGGGCGAAGAAATGACTGTCACGCGCTAGCTGGCTTGGC